ACCGGTTTGGGTAGAAGTTTCTTCTACGCCATCTTGCCGAATGACAGCGGTGGGAGCTATAGGTCTGCTGTGGGAGCCATGAAATCTGTGCCCAGTCCTCGCACAATGCAAGACTATTGTAGTTGATCATAGCTTGGCTCAGTACAACGCGTTTTCAGAATACTTTCCGTCATCTAATGTTGTCGTTTCCATCTCGTTAGGGAAATGAAGAAGAAATGTAACCAGCTATCTGGTATGCCAACGTTCGAAAAGCAGCGCATCTTTCAATGAATGTGGAACATGATGTACTGTGATAGTGAGATACCGTTTTGTAGATTCCTAGCCGCCGTAGAAAGACGTAGCTCAGAAGCAGGTGACTTTTTACGCCGAAATTTGTTACCATACCGAGAACAGTGGGCAGGGTATGCAGTGTGGAATAGGTTGACTTTAGGAAACCTAACTACCAACCGAGTGGAGACGGAAAATAGGCACCTCAAGATAGGCTTGTCTCCTCGGTCTTCATTAGTGGATGTATTGAAGAAAGTGCTACAACGAGTAGGGTCACTGGAAATGACGCATGGAATATGCCTCGCTAAAGATTCCATGAGAGGTTATCCTACACCCATTGACATGCAGTCGTTTACACCGATGCTTATACGAGTGACAGAATAGTATTTAGTATGGCTTTTGACAGTTATATCGAAGGTGTAACTCCTAAGGTTTAAATATTGATAGATTTCCCTCCCGAGAACTCCTTCATTTAAATTGACGATTATTTTTCTTATTTTGTTAAGGTAAATAAATTTCCCTTTGATTTTTTTGTTGTTTGCTGCCTTATTGAAACCGGCGTTCTTATTAGGGTCTGTCATACGCAAAATAATTTTTAAACAACAGAGGTCTCCAGTTGGGATTTTTTCATGTCTTGCAGAATGGGGATCCATCAAATGACCTTGAACTTTTTGAATCAAGCCGCGTTTGGATGCTGCGCGCTTATCTAAATCATACGGGTAGCAAGAGTAAATGGTGGTGCTTAGTCGCAAACCAACCCTGCAAACAAGGAACGTTCATTTGAATGAAGAGCAATAGCATTCGCTATGCTGCCCCAAAAACGGATGTGTTTTTACACTCAATCTGAGGGTTAAAATACCATATCAACACTATGCGCAATGCCCCCCCCCTAGCTAAAGAGTTTTGCCGAGTTAGTCAAATCTCTCTCGACCGAGAGGTGCCTGGTTTTTCCAAGGCTGACTCCTGTCCCTGCATCTCTTCTTGCACTGTATGATGAATGATGGTCAAGTTCGATTGATTCCTTGACTGTTATTGGGATCAGAATCCCAAGAATACTCCTCCACCAGCCTTCAACTGATCCAGCCATGAGAACCAGATCTCTCTATTCCACCGCATGAGAGAATTAAACCCTAGGTAGTGACCATTTGAGACTCGATTGGAATACGTGTACCCTGTTTATGACACCGTGAGTATATGTCAGAGCGTCTGCCAAGCACTCAGCGTCGTACTGCCATTTTCGTCCTGAGACCCGTAAGGATATAAACTGGTATACATTGAGATATGCACAAGACTGCACACATACATGGTTGGTATAGATGTGTAGTGATTATGATGTTACGAAGAAAAGGAGCGATCCACGAGGGCGTTTTCCGTTCATATTTTCTTCATCATCCACTCTGACCCCAGCTGTAAAATATTTTTATTTTACTTTTGCTTGTTTTACTGAGCACGGTGTTCCGCTCGGGTGAATATATAAGCTGGGTCCTGTTCGAACCCACGCCATACGTGTGACACACTGTCGCTTTGCTACTGCATTTATTGCTTGCATTGTTTAGCGTCACCCCGGCACGTTTCGGTACTATCTAGTACCACGATTCGCCAATAAACGTCTACGATTCCCACGAGTGATTTGTCTACCCCGAGCAACCAGACAGTAGGAGGTCACGCGCACTTTGAGATTCGAAAGAAGACTTTCCGGCAAGCCGTCATCTCTGGTTAGCTCCAGATCAACTGCTTTATAACTATCCGCACCTTTCAGGTCAAAGTTGGTATGCAATTATCGATGACGACCAACATGACTAGCGGTATTCCTCAGGGTTCTGCGCTAAGCCCACTGCTATTCCTCATGTTCGATCACGATCCGCCACGGGAAATCAACAACCCGTACTTCTTGTTCGCGGACAACTTCAAAGTGGCTGGAACGAACGTGTATCAGGACCTGCAGGCTGTTATACGGTGGTCCGAAAAGTGGGATCTTCCGCTCAATCTAGCTAAGTATCAACTTCTAACAGCAGAAGCTGAACTTGACATACAAGCAGTATCTGTGGAACACAATCCATCTTGGTACATACTCCTAGAAGTATTGTGACCACCTATGCATTATTTAACTGACTCCTCATCTCGTTTTCGCTCGAATCATTTGACTAAACATCGTGGCACATGCAAACCAG